GAAGGAAGCATGGCTATTGTAGATGGTCCAAATGCAACATACTAAAGAAAAAATTAGCAGGGCAAAAATTAATTTTTTGACTATGCCTACACAACCTTTGTGTAGTCTTCAGTTAAGAGCAAGTACTCCTCCCTCTTGTCCCTGGGAAAAACAAAAAAGTCTCAACCCCAAAAGTTTGGATCCCATTTCAATCCAGGACATACAAGTACCTCCACCATATGGTCCCCCCATGTTCCTGCTACCACCAAAATTTCCACTCTTCATTGGACCATAGTTTGAGGGCTGTTGGTTATAGTTTCCAAAATCATTGTAGTTTCCACTTCCGTAATTGCCTATATTGACAAAAAAGAGAAGAGAAGATTTAGCTGAATCACATACAGTGCTCACAATAATGAAAAAAATTGTCTAAGCTTAAACAAATAGAAGAATGGTGTGACCCTGAGTGATATGTAGTGTTCTACTTAAAAAGGCTTGAGGATTTTCTTCTATGTCAATTATAGTAACAGTGTATTGGTTTGGTAAAATTTACAAAAGCCAGTGTTAAAAGTATTCGAGTTAACAGTCATGCTCAGGCCAATTCATAACCAGACTTTCAGTTAACTTTTTCATGAAAGTATAATTACCTCCTCCATAGTTGTCATAACCGCCTCCATAGCCCCCACCCTGATTGCCATATCCAGGTCCTCCTCCGCCATACCCTCCTCTTCCTCCTCCATAACCAGGACTACCTCCAAAATTGCCACCTATTATAAAACAAGCCTTTCAATAGTAACTTGACATTATAAATGTCAGCAACACACTGTAGGATCTGACAAATGGTAATATTTAAGAACCAATTCCAAAGAAAATGAAATATTTTTTCTACCAAGGAAAAGGCAAAAGGAAATTTTGACGTCTTATTATTTTAAAGCTCTGTACCTCTCCCCCTCCGCAACAACCTCCCCCTCCGCAACAAACTGTTTTCTCTGACTCCAGTGTCTGCTCAGACTAAAAAACAAAGCTTAGCAGCACAAAGGTTAAATTAAAAGCCACATTTTTCAGGAAATAGAATGTTTAAAAGTAAATTATACTGAGTGGTATTTAGCTGCAGCAAATTCCAAATTTACAGGAATTACAGGAAGTCATTACTTTTGTCACCAATTTTTCTGAAAGACCCTCTGTATGCATCATGGAAGTAATACACAACTTAACTATAGAAGAGAAAAATTCAAGCAGTGCAAAGATGATACTTTACTAGTGGTGAGGACTTTGTGCATGCAGTTCAGAGGTACAGAAATAAGATACCAGGATGATAAAGAACAGGTAAACTCTGTTAAACCATGCATCAAGTTGTACAGTAAGTTATACTTCCAAAGGGGGGGGGGGGGCAGGGGGGACAGGGAACAGGACCCATGACCATAAAAATTCATTAACAAATGCAAACATGAGTGTACATGCATTAAATTAACATCAAGCACAGATGCTTGATAAACAGGTGAAGGAGCTTGAAATAATCTAATCTAGCACCAAAAACAGGACCGAAAAAGAAAATGAGCTTTCAACAGAAATCAAGTTTCTAGGGAGTGAGAGGAAAAACACAAATATCTAGAACATACATGGCAAACTGTATTAAAGAATTAATAAGAGACAGAAGCTACATTCCCTGTAAAAAGAAACATCATATATTACTTAAATCAATTAGAAAAAAAACATATACAAGAGGCTTTTCAAATATGGGAAGTAAAAAAAACAAACAAACAAACAAAAACCACTATACTAACCTCCTGGTCCCCCACCATATCCATTGTATCCATCACCAAATCCACGGCCGCTTCCATATCCATCTGTTGGGAAAAAGGCATTTTAGTTCTTCTATGGGGAAACCATAAGTTTATTTTTACTGGCGAACTTAATGTTCATCTCAAAAGAATTTTAAACTAAGACCTTATATAAGAACAACTTTCAGGTTCTCTCTCTCTCTAATCTGCCTAGACAATTTAAGATGAATGTTGCACATCTAACATTTCAAAAACTAAATATTATAAAGGTAATAGTGACCATCAACCCTTTTTGGAGGGGAAACAGTACCCTGAACACAGGTCATGGAAATTAGCGATTTATAAATCACTATTTGTCCAAAATATACATTTCACAAAACTTAAGATGTTAGCCTCTCTCTCTGACTAATCTTTTCCAATAAATAAAATTACTATGGGCTAACCTCTTATACTGAACCTGAACTTAAAAAATAGCCTTTTCTTAAGACGTTAATACGAAAAGTTTGAAAAATACATAAAAATTAAACTCCGGATAATCTGAATACAAAAAACTTTAAGACAGTCTGAACATGGAACTAGTATGCTACAGGACATGCAATCAATTTCTTAAAATATTCTGCTTCTCTTGCATTAAAATACCGGGTTGTTTCTGTACTTCAACAAGGAAGCTTAGAAGACAGAAGTTTCCTGGATACCAGCTTATTGCAACAATTTATTCTACGTTATAGTACTTTCCATGTTTCCTTAAAAATTGACCACTGCTTTAAACTGTTTGATTTAGCTTATATAAGGACTTGCTCATTTTTAAAAGTGGAAAAACACTGACAAATGTTAAAATGACTCTGTTCAGTATACTATTACTTATTCTTAACCACTCACATTTCAGTTTCTGCCTAGCAATTCTGTAGTATGCTAAACACACCAAAAGGTTTCTTCTCTTGTCTTTTTTCAAAACTCTTCATTTAAATAAAATACTAGTAATCTGAACCCCCTCCCCCGCCAAAATATGAAGGAAAAAGGAATAAAAATACAAACATGCCTGGCTTACCAGCTCCCCCTCTGAAGTTGCTTCCTGGTCCTGGACCGAAGTTACCACCACCTCCACGTGCATCACCAAAGCCAAAGTTACCTAGAATGATTTTGAATTATCTTAAGTATTCACTTCCTGAAAAATGATCTACAATCATAAAACAATAAACCTCCATACCTCCTCTCCCACTCCTAGAATTTTGAACTTCTTGCATTTCTTGTCTAGATAAAGCTTTTCTTACTTCTGCGTTGTGACCATTGATGGTGTGGTATTTCTGCACTGTGATCACAAAACATGAAAAATACACTCAGTACATATTACTTCTGGGGTTAAAAACAAGGGAAACAGCCAAATACAAACATTTCTTCTCATACCAATACCAACCAAACCAACCCAGATTGTAGATATACTTCTATTACTTAAGATAGGAAGAGGGACGCTTTTTTTTTTTAAATAGGATTAAAAAAAATTACACACACACACACGTTCCCCTTAACTGGAGGCCTGAACCAACGCTTTGATCCCAACAACCTTTATACATGTAAGTAGTACTATGAAACCCAAACTTACATAAATATTTACTGCAAAAAGCACCATTAGCTGTGATATAGTTGTAATACAGCTATACTTACAAACTATTTTATCCACTGGATCATGGTCATCAAATGTAACAAAGCCAAAGCCTCTCTTTTTACCAGACTGCCTGTCAGTTATTATTTCAATAGTGTCAATTTTTCCATACTCCTCAAAGTAGTCTCTAAGGTGGTGTTCCTCAGTATCTTCCTTAATTCCACCAACAAAAAGTTTTTTCACAGTAACATGGGCACCAGGTTTTCCAGATTCCTAGAAAGTATTACAAGTTTTTTTAAATTGATAAAGATGGAAGAGGAAATTGTACACCATGTACATTTTACAAATGTTTGGAAGTCAATTTAAAGTCTGATTAATTTTAAAAAGTGAATACCAGTATTTTAGGTATCTCACCACTCATCTGCAATATTACTGCCAGGGTTAGGGATTTTTTTGTTTTCTTATTTTTTAAATGCTTGTAATCCCTCCATTTGCTATGTGAAAGATCTAAAGAGACGTGACAAACTTAGGGAAAAAAAAGACATTTTTACCCTAACACTTTTTAAAAATCAATCTTAGATTTTACTTGTAAAGATATTAAGTTTTTCAAACGAAAGTATGCTTTTTAAATAGATTGCATTATTTTATTTTCAGACCATGGTTTTCACGTTCTACATATCACCCAAGATTATTGGAATCTGACCTGTACTGACTTTAAAGGAAGCCATGATCCCACTCTTGATTTTCAAAATATGAAGCTCCCCAAAATATACCACTCTGAACAGAGAAGGAGTCGGCACTGGGGATATATCTGATTTGTAAACCCTCACTATAGGAGCATTCACTTAACTTGAAATGGCTCCTCTCAAGCAAGTCTTTAATTCATGTTGATAAAAATCAACAACTACACCTGCACATAGTACTTTAAGAAGTTTAAAGCAGTGTAACAAGTAAAAATTTAAGAAGCATGTCACATTTCCTCTAGACTAACTCATAGATTCATTTTCAACTACAAGGAATCTATGAGTTTACTATGCTTAAATTTAAAAATAAGTATACCTTAACCAAAATGTTGATAGAGACTTCCACATAGCAAAAGCCTCCAAGATTCTGCTTACCTCTCTGGCCACTGCTCGCTTAGGTTCAACCACCCTTCCATCAATTGTATGAGGCCTGGCAGCCATTGCTGCATCAACTTCAGCCATTGAGGAGAATGTTACAAAACCAAATCCCCTTGATCGTTTGCTGGCCGGATCTCTCATCACCTATTAAAGACAGTTTTTTGGGTTTTTTTTTACTTTTCCACTAACAAGTTTTTGTATAACATGCGATAGTAACACGTCTATACTTCTTTTCTAATTTAGATTTTTCTTGATTTATATAAAAAAGTGTTATGTAATTTTGCACTACAGAAAACACCTTGCTCTTTATTATGAAAATTGACTGTTTCAATTACTATCAATGGCTCATTCACATACTTAAGATGTACATCACCAATGTAAGTTTTTTTAAAGATCTTACTCCACTTGCTTCCATTTGCCCTCATAAAAAAATTAAAGGAATATATGTTATCAATTAAACAGAACCTATTACACTTCAACACACATAATACAGAGTTAAGAGGCAGTACTGATGCCACATGTCAGCTGCATGGATTAAGTAAGCACTGACCACAACACGTACCTGCAGGACAAATCTGAAAACATAACTCTCTAAAAATAAGTCTACAGCTCTTGAAATTTGGTCAGGACACACCATTTTTACAAAATGCCCGTATTATTCGCCTGTTACTAATACATAAAACTTACCACACAGTCTGTAAGCTTTCCCCATTGTTCGTAGTAGTTTCTCAGACTTTCTTCTGTTGTTTCAAAGCTTAAGCCACCAATGAACAGTTTGCGAAACTGTTCCTTTTCCCTCTATTTTGGAGAACAAGATAACATTCATGTCATTTCAAGTTTTCCTTACAGTATAGTTAAACTAAACTAGTATTGTAAGACTAAATCATCTCAGACTAATTCAGAACTTTCAATGAACATTCTTTTTCAACTTTAGGCTGTGTTTTGTTTTGCATTTTTTAAAATACCGTACTGCTTATTCGATCTTTCACATTTTGTTTTCTCTAGTATGAGGTCACCTTCACAATTAACATTCTAAGATTTATCATCTTCCCTATACTTCCCAAAATTATTTAAATTAATTTTGAGTTCTTATACAAGAGGCTCCCTTAAATGTTCTTCCTACAATACTGTTTTTCAAAATAAAAAAATATGCCAGATTAAAACAAGCAAAATGTTTATTTTGCCAGATCAGATTAAAACAAAGTCTGTGCTGAATGTTCCAACACACATTTTAATTAAAAAGCAATAGATAAGACATGTTTCCAAACACAACTACAAGCCATTAAGCTATTTCTTTTATCAATTCATTCAAATGTAGTATCAAGCTAGCACTTATGGAATGGGACCTACTCAAATCGCAAATTCCACAGAAACTGCAAAAAATGGTGTTTTCTGCAATTTTGTGCAGAATCACTGGGGGGACAACAGGGACTTGCCAATAAAAAAAAAAAATGATGGCACCCCCACCTTGCAGCCCATGGCAACTGGGAGAGGTGGAAGAAATGGGAGGCACAGGAACAAAAAGGCTTGCAGCCAAGCTAGCAGTCGTCCCCAATGCCACTGATTGGCCGAGAGGACTGCCTTTCATGTGGCCCTCCCCAACCTCCTCCACCAGCCAGCAGTGAGGGGGTGGGGCCCCTTGGCCAATCAGGGGCTTAGGAGGAGCCCACTGTGCAAAGACCATGTAAATAGCAGTCAGCACCTTGAAATCACCTGTCCTGCCACCTAAATTTTGTGAAGTCCCTACTTATGGAATGTACCTGAAGGGCTAATCCAGCACTAATGAAATGGTGCCAGTTTCCCTCCTACCTATTCTCCCCAACCCTAAAAAAACCACAAAAAAAAACTAGTTTAAAGAGACACTGTTGCCAGTTTTGTCTATAAGTGTGTTTGTATCCTGCTTTAAAATGATAATCACATCAACTTATTTTCCAACAAAGTATTCAGACTAATAAAAGCTTTTTGATGCTGCCTAGGCAGGATTTCAGCTAGAGGGAGACATGGAAAAAGGATCACTGAAAGTAATACTGAAACAGATTTTGATAATGACTTCAAACCAAGACTAATTTCAGATAGCAGAAATTGCACTGTTCATTTTTTTAAGTTACAGCCTTACCTTGTACTTCTTTAGAACTGTCTGCAGAGCCTAAGGTGTGCAGTACTCAGACATTTAAAAAAAAAATGAATAATGTATTACAAACATGGGCCCCAATAAACCCCTAGAAAACTAAAAAAAATGAATACTGCATCTGCCAACAGTGTAATAATAGCACCACCTACATCTTTTACTATTGCTTTTTGATCAAGATTCAAAGTGTTTAATAGAACATCAGCATCGTTTTCTGCATTTGAAAAGTGGGAAAATTAGCCGAAGAAGCCAAGTGCATTAACCACTGGGAAAAGAAAACCTAAAGGCCTAATTCTACTAACAGTCAACTAGAGTACCTGCACTATTACAGCATAAGATAACTGCAAACACGTAGATTTTAATGAATTTTCCACCAACCATCCTTTCACATCACAAAATGTCAAATGAAACTGAAGAAAGGAAGAGGAAAATTTAAAGCAAGTACTAATAAAACTTGGCATGCCAACAGAATAATCCTATAGGTATTTTGTTACTGTAACAAAAAACAGATAGCAATTTCAACTCTGTAACCAATACCTACTAGAAAAAGTTATTAAATCACTTAAAAAATGAAATGAATAAAATTACAGTACTAGTTCTCAAACAAGCCTGTGGATCATCAGTGGTGCAGGGCACTTGGTAAGGCTTGCTTGTAGGCTACAACCTCCTTACAAGAAGACAACTACAAATAAATTTACTTTCCCCAATATAAGCAATTGCCATATGGGAATAATACAACTAGGAAAGGAGGGTTGGAGCATGTAGCCCCACATGGCCTAAGGCAGCATCCCCCAACCTTTTTCCCCCCACAGCACATTTACCTAAATAAAAAAGCACAGCAGCACACTGGATGCAGAGCAGGGGGAGTGGTGTGCAGCCAGCCGGATGGCATGGGCCAGAGCCATGCTCCCCACCTGTGTCCGCAGCATCAGCAGGCAGGGGGTGTGGCTCCACACTGGTGTGCCACCGGCTGGGAAACACTGATCTAAGGGAGTGATTTTCAACCACAGTACGTGGCCTCGTGGCATGCCCTGACATCCTTTCAAGGATACCATACAATGTTAGCATGGTTAGGTTTCCAAACATGAGTCACAAGATACACCCAGAGATTTCAAATAGAAATCCATAGTTGTGGTCTCTCCAAATTCTTCACAACAAAAAAATTGCTGTATTTTTCAGTAACCAAAAAAAGTAGTGAATATTACTACCTTTAAAAATAGAGCTGACATTTTTTTGAGGGGTGTCATGAGGCCATCAAGAGTACTTTTAGTTTACCTAGGGGTACCTTGAATCTAAAAAGGTTGAGAACCACTAGTCTAAGAAATGTGAGGGGCAAGAGTTTTGATGATGTCTTTTACTGGGACCAACTATATAATATGGGAAGGGGGGGGGGAAGGGAAGAGAGAGAAGGGGAATGTAAGACAAGCTTTCAGGCAGCCATTGGGATTACCAAGGGAAAAGACTACTATCATTAATCTCCATATTAAATTATGGTTCACATTATGGTTTAAGATATTATCGCGTGTGCGTACACACATGCATTTAAGTAAGGTCTCAGGCAAGCAGTCTGCCCATCTGTCTTGTGTGGGACGTGAACTCTGATGACAACGTGTGATTAGAGGGAGATACGTAGGCAAGTCATTCTGAAGTCAAGCAGAAATACAGGGTAGACTAACCAATCAGAAATGCACATGCTCACATCACTTCATGGGGTAGCTCAGGCTCATGAAAGTTTGTGCACTTGATTTAGTTAGCATACAAATGTGCTTTGCTACTCAGCCTTATGCCTAAGCATGTTACTTCTTGTTCATCTGAGGATTTTTACCTTTACTGGATAACCACCAAGTACGTTGCATTCACTGGGATGTTTAACACATTAATTAAAGTATGTTTTTGCCCTACCAAAGACAGAGCCTTAGGACTAAGACTATATTTCCTGAGTCTTAGGGAATGCAAATGTTAGCTTACAAGTCAGAATTAAACTAACCCACTATAATGGAAACTGCAGAGTTTTACACTTGGCAAAGCAAAGTGTCTGTACCTCACTTTTACCTGCTTGCTTGTGAAATCTGGATGGGGAAAAAAACCTTTCAAAATGCCAACAGACAAGCCAGCTCTGAGCATCTAGATCCTAAGCAAGGTAAGAGCTTATCAAATTACCAGGAGCCTCCTTGTTCTGCCCTATTACACAGCACACAGAGATAAAACAAATCGGTCTCAACTGCTGCAAGAGCAAAGCCACCAAAAAATGGCGGCTAGAAATTTGAGGGGCGGGGAGAGAAGATTCCGCATCCCGGCGCTGAACGCCCGCCAAAAAGGGCGCGGGGGCGGGAGCTGCGGCGCACGGAGGCCGCTCGGGGCAATGCGCGGCTGCGCGGGCAAAGCCGGTGCCTCCTACCCCCTGCGCCGGAGCGCGCTCCCTCCAGGGCCCAAGTACATCGGGCTCGAGGTGGCCGCCATGTGGCAGCGCCGGGAGCCTGAGCCGGGGCCGCTCAGCTGCGGAGAAGGAAAATGGCGCCCACAAGCCACCGCCTGCCGGGGCAGCGATGCGGCAGGACAGGAAAAGCCTCCCTCGAGGAGAAGCCGCGCGCCTCCCGCTGCAACTCGGCTGCGCCCGCGGCCGGCGGAGGAAACCGCAGCCCCCCTTCCCCCAGCGCCGCCTCTCACCAGCTTGGCCGCGGCGCTGCCCTGGCTCACGGCCCGCCTCCCCATCTTGGCGCGGAGCCCCGGGCCCTCCTCACACACGAGCCAGTCTGCGCGCCGCCATTTTCTCCCTCCGCCTCGTTACCGCCATTAAGAGCCGGGGCCGGTCGGCAGCAGAGGCACGCGGACCCTCCCCCCGCTGCCGTTACTTTCAACGGTCCCGGCGACTGACCCGCCCCTTTCCCGCCGGCGCCGAAGCCGCCGCTTTCCCCCCCTGCGCTAGCCCCAACCACCGCCGGTGCTTCCAGAACTTTCCTCCTTTAACTGCCACTTGGACTCAGGCCCGGGCCAGCGCTAGCAGCTCGCGGGAGAAGGGGATGTGGGGGCGCCGCGGCCCTTTCCCCCCGGCCGAGCCCTGAGCGCTGCCAGGCACGTACCATATTCTTCATGGTGCGGGCGGCCCCGGGTGCGAGCGCACACGACTGGCCCAGTAATGGCTACCTCGGCCGTTACGTAATTTGAAATTCGGGCTCGCAGCTATCCTGTTTTCACCTCACGCCAGTTTGCGCCTGCCCTGCCTAAAGCGCGCGGCTCCCGAGAGGGGGGGAAGGAGTGGGCCGCGGCACCGAGCTCCCCTTTGTGTTTTACTGTCCGCAGAAAAGAAAAAAAGTCAGCAGCTCCGGGAGCAATGGCCGCCTCCGGAATGAGCCGAAGCGCCCGTCTTCGTCGAGCTCCTCAGCTTCGGCGCCTGACGGAAAAAGCCGAAGCGGCCACGGCCGAGGAGCCGAGGAAGTTCGGCTCTTTCCGGAAGGAGCGAGCCCGGGCCCCGGCACCCTTACGCTCCGCTTCGGCCATTTCCGCAAGGGGAATCGTGAGGCGCCGCGTGGCCGACCGGAGCCGAAGCGACTCGGCTCAGCTCGGGGGGGGGGCGCTGCTCCCTTTTCCAGCTTTCCGGGAAGGGCCGAAGCCGCTCGGAGACGAATCCTCGCAGCCCCCTCCCCGGCTCCAGAGCCCCGACCCTTCCCCCTCCGCCTCAGGGCGAGCCATGAAGCCCAGATTTTGTCCCTCACGGCTTTCCCGCCCAGCGTCCTTCTCGCCAGGTTTCTCGGCCTCGTGCACCTACGCCCAGCGCCACTCCCTCCCGGCTGGGGCTGAGGGAGCCGCCGCCATGTTGCGTCCCCATCGGCGACTCACCCAGTCGCTCTCCCGGTCCCCACGAGGCATCTTCTTCCGCCTGGGCGCGCGGCGAGGTTGAGTCCCCGGCGCTGCGCTGGGCTCCCGTGGGAGAGACGTCTTGGCCCGCTGCTGCGCTGGCGACCGCGCGGCACTGGGGGG